GTGAATTAATGCAGATAGTCTCACTCATCTGTGATGCACAGAATAACAGCACAAGGGAATGCAGGTGCTCAAAGGAGGATGGCAAGAAAGGAAGTCAAGGGGCCAAGTGAAGCAGAGGGAGGGGCCTCGGGCCATCAGTGGCACAGAGGGGTGATAGATGTATATGTCTGAAGCACAGAGTCAAATACTGGATGTATGAGATCCAAACTCCAGCCAACAAACTTTAAAATGTGCCTGTCGGGCCAGGGCAATAGCAGAGTAGGGCACTTGCCTTGCACGTGGCTGACCAGTGTCCGATCCCAGGCACCCCATGTGGCCCCATCAGGAGTGATCCCTAAGCACAGACCCAGGAGTGACCCCTGAGCATCACCAGGTATGATTATCCCCCTCCCCCACCCCAAATATGCCTGTCAAGGAAGCAGGCGAGGTAAGAAAGGTAACCTGGGACACTGGGGGAGGGACATTGACACTGGTGATGGGACTGCGGTGGGAGCAACATATGCCTGAAATCTAACTATGAATAACTGCAAATCACGGTGCCTTAAAAAAATTAAAATTTTTTTTAAAGAAGGTATCTTTCCGGGGGATACTGAATGATACTTTTTCTTTTTTCTGAAATGAAAGCAGTAAGCTGAATCGTATCCTGAGCTTCTCGGCTATAGAGTGAATTACTCAGTGATAGAGAGCAATGAGCTAGGAAAAGGCATGAGAAACCTCAAGTGCTTGCTCTTGATGCAAGAAGTTAAAGGTTCCATGCAGGTAATTCCAACTCACTATATTTTGGAAAAGGCAAAATTACACATACAATAGAAAGACCTGAGGCTGCCAGTCTCAGGTGGAGCGAGAAACAATAGCAGCACTGTCCTGCCTCATGCCCAGGTGCCCACAGGGTTCTCTGAACCAAAGAAACAAGTGAAGGGCAAACCCCTGTCACAGCAGGGCTGCAGCTAACAGCACTGTATGGGGCCACGACCGGAAGCACGTGCCACACACAGCACCACAGATCGCAGGAGGGAGGGTGGGGAGGCACCCAGAAGCCCCTCTGTCACCCATCCAATTTCCTGTAAACCTGAAACTGCTCCAAGTTCTGGGGGCACAGGGTGCCTTGCAAGAGTGAAGGTGCAAATGGGATCCCTACGTCCCCCCACGTACCTGAGTGGGATCCCAAGGTGGCACTCTATATCCCCGGTGACATGACTAAAGGAGCAAACACCATTGCAGCACAACCAAGCCTGTACAAGCACCGTGACCACGAATGTACAAGCATCACTACCAAGCATGTACAAATACCCCGGCCAAGCATGTACAAGCATCGTGATCAAACATGTACAAGCACCGCAACCACGCATGTACAAGCACCATGACCAAGCATGGCAAAGACTGCAACCCAAATGGGCACGAGAAGCACAACTAGAGTGGCCAACTCCCACAGAACACATGGGCCAGCACACAAACCAAGTATGTGTGACACAGTAGGAGGAGAATGAATCAATGCCGGAAGTTTCCATTAAAAACAAACAGCCAACTGAAGTTAAAATAGAAATCAGAATTTGGGAGTGTTTTGGAGGTGTTACCCAGCAGTGACTCCTGGGCTGCCTGGCCTGGTGATACAGAGAGCCCCCAGGAAGACTTCAGAGATACCGGTATGGGCAGGGCGTCAGCCTGCGAAAGCCAGGCAAGCACTCATTCCTCTAAGCTGCACTTCCAGCCCCTAAGATTGTATACTTACTATTTGGGGCCACACCCCGCGCTGCTCAGGGCTTATTCCTGGCTCTGTGTTCAGAGATCACTCCTGGCTCAGGGGACCAGATGCGGCGCCGAGATTGAACCAGAGTTGACCAAGTACAACTTCTCATCTTTTTTCCAAAATATACATGTAGGTCATCTTGAAAAGCATTTCAGCCAATCTGCTAAATCCATTCTGCAGGCTTGCAGTCCAGCTTTAGTTTTCATTTTTAACCGCCAAAAAAGTAACCTACATAAAACATCAGTGATAGCCAACACAGATTCTAGAGGGATCAGTTGCTATGGGGATGATTAAAAATAAATTCCATTTCTCACTACACCTTGCTAATGTACTGACCAGAGGCAGAAAGAAGTATCTGGAATAAAGCAGAAGCACAGCCAGTACTCCTAGCCAAGAAGGGGAAGATGGCAGCCTGGTGAGGTTTAAAGGATCCAGTCTAGAGCCACAGCAGGGGGTGGGGGGCTCCCTGGACAGCGCCTGCCCAGGACCTGCGGAGTCCAGGGCGGCTTCCTCTCCTCCCCTCAGAGCCTGGCTCCCAACAGCCGCACCACAGCGCAGGCTGGGGAAGAGCACCCCTCCCTGAGCAATCTGTTTGGAGAGACACCGGTCCTCAGCTTTGGACAGTACCCCAGGGGTCCCTGCTCTACCAGACTAACCCTGTAGATGCTGGACTGGACTGCTAGCCCATCTGGAAGCTCTTCGGGAGAGGGCAGGAAGCCAGAGGCTGGCGTTACTTCAGAGAGTGACCACTTTCCAAAAGGAGAATTCAGAAAAAGATGTGATTAAAACTGGATCAATGTTACCAATTAAATTCCAATCTCCCTACAGCTGACATTTTTTTTTTGGTGGGGCCACACCCACGGGTGCTCAAGGCTTACTCCTGGCTCTGTGCTCAGGGATCACTCCTAGCAGGGATAAGGGAACCATATGTGGTATCAAGGACTGAACCCAGACTGGCAGTGTGCAAGGCACGCACCTTAAGCCCTGAGGTCTCTCTCCAGCCCTCTACATCCTTTCAGAGCAAACGTGCGATCTGGCAAGTCACCGTGCCTGAGTTCTGAGAGCGGCTCCAGCCAGTTAATCAAGTCCATAGGGAGAGCTGAGGAGCTGAGATCTTCAGCTGGGTGGTCAGATGTGCAGATAGACCCACAGGGAGTGAGGGACTAGATCAGGAGACGAGCCCTTAACCCAGGGAGCTCTCAAGCCACCTCCAGGCAGGAGGGAGCATGTCAGGCTGAGAAGGCACAGGCATCCAGCTGTTGTTGCATTACCCCCACCCCCAACACACACACACACACACACACACACACACACACACACATACAGAGAGAGAGAGAGAGAGAGAGAGAGAGAGAGGAACTGGGCCCAGATCCCTTTAGGTGTTAAGCAAAATGCCTGATACAGAGAAAGTACAGCAATGCTGCCTGCCGGGCCAGAGGGGACTGTGCTACTGACTCCCTCTCCCCCTCCCTCCCTCTCTTCCTCTCTCTCCCTCTCTCTTTCTCTCTCCCCCTCCCTCTCTCCCTCTCCTTCTCTCTCCCTTCCTCTTTCCCTCTCTCCCTCTCTCTCTCTCTCTCTCTCTCTCATACACACACACACACACACACACACACACACACACACACACACACACCCCTCTCCTCATCCACATTCCTGTGTGGAGCAAGACCTGGGCACTGCTGACAGAGTTCCTGAAGAGTAACAGAGCAGGCAGTGACCTTGGTTTCTAGATCTTAACTCCAGAAAGAAACAACAACTTCTGAGGCAGCAGCAAGTCCCAGAGGTGGAAACTTAACAACACTCAGAGTAACAGTTTCTCCCCAAACACAAGGATGTACGTATGGAGCTATCAGAATCCTCAAGGCTGAAGAATGAGATTATTGTATAAATGGTCAACCTGCTACCCATGTGTGACACTTCTAAAAGGCAATTATGCTTGTTACTTATTTTCTTTCTTTAAGTTTAGTTAATGGACTCATAGTTTCATTTTGGCAAAAATTTAATACAGAAAACGATTTGCTAATCAAAGCTATATTTGTCCTTATTTCTCAGACATGGTTATTCAGTGCCTGAACCATCATTTTATCACAGATATCACAAATGAGAGCATATGGTTAAACACCTAAGCAGGTATGCAACATCATTAGCAATACATAAAATAAAATATTACATGCATATGTGTTACTCTCTCCATGGATATTTATTGCCATGTGAATGGTTTATGGCACGTAGTCCATTCCACTACTTGTTGGAGATCATCCATCACAGTCAAACCCAGTCTATGTTTATCATATCCAGTATAATCTCTCAAGCCCTGATTGATCGACATCCTAGTACAATCCTGTCCCTCCTCTCCCTCTGGGCACAAATAAGTCCTGGGACTTTCCATCAAAGGACTTGACCTGGTCTCTGGGTCTCAGAGGGACTTTCTCACTAAAACACCCACTCTGAAGCAAGACACATCTAGGAAAGAATGACGAATCAGCTGGGATCACACATAGTTGTGAAGTTGTATTAACTTGGTATTAGTTATTTCGTTTTGTTTGGGGGCTACACCTGGCAGTGCTCAGGGGCCTACATGTGGCACTGGGAATCAGACCTGGGTGACTCACACACAAGGCAAGCACCTCCCGCACTGTGCCTTCTCTCCAGCCTGTCAGTGTTTCTCCATGTTTGGGAGGATGCTATGATCCAGCCAAGTCCATTTCAACTCTCAACACAGACAAGCAACCTTTTTTCTATCAAGTCATGTATATGAATGAATGAGTAGAGCAGTTCGTTCCGGAGCTGCCCGTCCCGGCTCAGGGCAATCATTTCTTTTCTGTTACAGGCCTATCTCTCTCTCTCTCTCTCTCTCTCTCTCTCTCTCTCTCTCTCCTATTTTCTAAACAAATATCAATTTCTCCTAAATAAAACTTCCGTCTTAAAAAGAAGAGAGATAAAATGAAAATACTTTCGCCATCCCAGATCTACTTCCTGCCCATTCTTCAAATCACTTCTATGAATTTGCTCTTCCTCCGTCCAGTTCTACTTTACTCTTTGTTTTATCTAAACTTTCCCAAATTTTTTAAAAGAAAAGAAAATGAGGAGAAACATAGAACACGTGTGCCATTGAAGCCCCCTGTGATGGACTCCCAGACACCCCCTGCCCTGCTGGGAGCAGCCCCCCACCACCACCAGTGGAGGTGATGCCCGGGGGGCCAGGAGGGCTGCCTACAACCTCACACCAGGTCCCCACCATCCCCGAGCTCACCTGGGTCCAGGTGTGTGAAGGAGCCCACCACGAAGTCCAGCGTGGACACAGCCAGCAGCAGCAGCAGCAGCAGCTGGAGGCGGATGATCCATTTGACCCCCGCAAGGTTAATGCCCAGCAGGGCTAGCAGCACCGCCAGAGAAATGCCGCGCACGGCCCAGATGTTGCGGAGGCTCAGCAAGTCTGAGATGGACTCAGCGAAGCCGGTGATGTACATGGCGCCTGCAACACACTGGAGCAGGGGCAGAGATCAGGCCAGGGTCCTCTGGTTCTCCCATCCCCAGAGAGGAGACGGACCCTCAGCCCCATGCAGGGTGAGCCAATGTCAGTGGAAGCAAGAGGAAAGACAGAGGGGGAGACCCCCACGCCCCCACACTTCGGGAAGCCTCGGCAGCCACACCCACATCTCTCCATCACCACCATGTGGACTCACCTATCGGCCCATACACTCACGACTCAACCTCCAAAGAGACGCAACCCTAGCCACTAAAATTCACAGGCGCACTGACCTTCAGGCTGAGAACTTGGGTGCCCCCGCCCTGCTGACGGGCAGGCACCCACACCCACCCACGGCTGCTGCCACACCAACAGCCCCACCCACTGCTCCACAACTGACTTCTTCAGAGATGCCAAAGTGACAGGGCTGGAGCCATAGCTCAGCGGATAGGGTGTTTGCCTTGCACGCGGCCGACCCGGGTTTGATTCCTCCGTCCCTCTTGGAGAGACTGGCAAACTACCGAGAGTATCCCGCCCACACGGCAAAGCCTGGCAAGCTCCCCGTGGCATATTCGATATGCCGAAAACAGTAACAACAAGTTTCACAATGGAGACATTACTGGTGCCCGCTCAAGCAAATCGATGAACAATGGGAGGACAGTGCTACAATGCTAAAGTGACAAAAGTTCCAGGCACTCTGGTTTCCAGGTTGAAAGATCTGGCACCATCCTCGAGTGGGGGCAGTCAGCCTCCACCACCCACCCCCTACTTCTGGAAGCCGCAGCAGCCACACCCACACCCAACAGCCACTGCTGTGTGCACACACCCATCAGCCCAGTTCTACAGATCCCTAAAGCGTCACAGTCATGACAGCTGCGAATTCCACACTTCTGATATCCCACCAAATTAGATGGGAAAGCAGCACAGAAACCAGCTAAGCTCAGCAGACAAGAACAAGGACACAGAAGGCTCAAAGGAAGCCTCGCAAACCCTCAGACAAGGACTTGGAAATGGCGAGATATAAACATTTTCACAAATTATTTTACTGAAGTATTTTTTGATAATTCCATTAGTTGTAACAAACAACATAAAATAAATATTTTGTGCCTGCTAAGGAGGCAGGTTTGGGGTGGCTGGGGAAGTGGGGCGTGCCGGCGGGCAGTCACTCTGGTGGTGGGCTCCGTGCTGGAACGTGAATGCCCAGACAACTGTATTATGAACCACTTTGTAAGCCACAGTGTTAAACAAAGTGTAAAACAAGAAAAGAAAAAGAGGGGAGAGAAAGAAGACAGGACCTGAGGCCCCTAGTTTCCATTTTTTAATGAAAAACAAAACCTGCAGAGCAAAAGTTAACAAAATTCCACCTGCTGGCCAAATCCTGTTTACGGCCTCATCTGCGAGTAGTTTTATTGGAACACACCATGCCCATTTCTTCATATTCTACAGCTACTTTCACACTGCAGTCATAGTTTTGGTGCTTGTGACATAAACATAAAACTTGCAAAATCCCTAATATTTACTAGTTTGCCCTTTACATAAGAAGTTTACTGAACTGGCAAGAGATGGCACAGAGGTTAAGTTACTGCCTTGCATGGACTGATTCAAGCTCAATCTCCAACATAAGATCCAGGAGTAAGCCCTGAGCTTCATTGGGCATGCCCCAAACTGCAAGCTCCCACTCTCCCAAATGAAGAAATTATTACTAACCCTGCTCTCGGATGGGCCAAATAATCTGCTCCAGCAACTGTTAAAAAGAAATGAAAGCACCACAGCTAACGGGAGCTAGTAAGGGCCAGGAACAGGCATCTGGAACGCCCATCACAGTCCTGGGGAAGGACCTCGAGCCAGTGACCAGACCACCTTAAGAGTCAGGAGAGCCAGTCTAAGGCAAAAAAGAAAAGAAAAAAAGAAAGAAAAAAAGGCTGGAGAAAAGCTAAGTGAGACAGACCAGAAAAATATTAACACAACAAAAACATTCGTTTTTTGAAGAGAAGCCTTTATTTGTATTAGCCAAGAAAAAGTGAGAAGGTTCAAGTCGTTCAAGTCAGGAATGAAAGGAGGCATGCCCATCTTACCAAACGAAAATGATAATAAGGGAATTCATCCACAATTTATAAATACACCAATATATTAGCTAGCCTATATGGAATCAACAAGTGCCTAGAAAGACACACACCAACACAGACTAAAAAAGAAATCGAAAACTAAAACACACCTAAATAAGTAAAGAGATTAAATTAGCCATCAAAAGACTTACTGTAGGAGCACAGCATGTAGGGTGTTTGCCTTGCACACGGCCGACCCGGGTTCAATCCCTGGCATCCCATATGGTCCCCCGAGCACCGCCAGGAGTAATTCCTTAGTGCAGTGCCAGGAGGAACCTTGAGCATCGCCGGGTGTGACCCAAAAAGAAAAAAAAAAGACTTACTGTGAAGGAAAGTCCAGGAACAGATGATCTGGCTGCTAATTTCTATTTGGAACGTTTTGCAAATGCTTCCACAAAATGGAAGCGAGAAATCCTCCCAGATCATTCTATGAAGCTAGCATTATCCTGATACCAAAACTAGACACAGAAGCCCCTGAGCCCCATGTCCCTCAGGAATATGGGCATATATTGTATATGTACATACCTGCAAAATTTCTCAACTAAATATTAGCAAACAGTGCAGGGGCGAAATCACGCCCTAATCCGAGGGTCAGCCCGGGTCAGTCGCAGACCAAACGGAGGCGCCAAGACAGATGGTGCCACGCCGCTGGCCTGCCTCCCCCCTGCCCGGCACAGAAGTGCCCCTTGGGGAAGCCTCAGCATCCCAGTGGCCCTCCCTCTCTCAGCAGCGCTGCTGCTGCCGCCCTGCTGATCACCCCAGCTGAGGGCACGTGGGGAGTAAGGTCTGCCCACGCTGCGGCTTGTCTGGCTACAAAGAAGCAGAGAAGTGGAAAATCAATATACAATCCCCAGGGTCCTAGAGTCACCTGCCCCCCTATTACTCACCGCCCGAACCGATTAAACTCTTTCCCCCACAAAGCACAGTGACAATCTGACCTCACGCCGGCCTCTGCTCAGCCGCTGCCCGCCTGACTCGCTGCAGTTCCTCTTTAAGGTGTTTTTTAAAGTATTTTTTCAATCACCCACTGCCTTTTGCCACATCCTAAAAAACCTTTTCCACTCCACGAAATGGTGACGAATCACTGCTTCTCGACGCTGCTCTCATTCTGCAGGTCGTCCTCCCTGCGCTCCAGCTGAACAAGCCTGGGCCTGGGTCTTCCTTACCCCCACAGGGTACTGCACCCCCCCCCCAACAAGGCCGCCCCTGTGAGCACTCTCAGACTGCTTGCCCGCCAGCCGCTGCACCTTGCCTGAGCCAGGCCTGCCGTGCCCCGGGGAGCCCCAGCACACAGAGAAGCGCCTGCTTCTAGGAAAGTCCTTCGCTTCTGCACTGAGGTCCCCTCCTAGGGAAGAGCACCCAGGGATCAGGCTCCTCCCACCCCAACCACTCTGGAGATATGGAGGGCTCAGTCAAGGTTCCCCTTCCTGACCCCCACGCCTCCCCCTAGAGTGCCCATTCATAAAGTGGGCAGCTCTGTCCCATCCCGGCCACCTGCTGCAGGGGATGAGGGTGAGAGGTCAAGGGCAACCAGAAAGGCAGGAGTGGGCCGGGATGTGGCATGGTGGTAGAGAACTGTGTGGCATGTGTGAGGCCCCGAATTCAAGCCCCAGAGCCAGTAAAACAAACCGCCTCCAAGAGGGTGTCATTGGGTAATTGGAGGCTGGGGAACAGAGCCAAGGGGAAGTCACTTGGTTTGCACGCAGGGGACCCAGTTCCATCCTGGGCACCACATGTGGGCCTCTGCGCCCACCAGCAGGGGGCTCTGAGCACTGAGCAGGAGGGAGTAAGTCCGAGCATGGCTGGATGTGCCCCAAGACCAAAAAAGAGAAAAAGACCCACAACGAAACACAACGGAAAGGAAGGCAGGAGAGAGCCCACAGCGGCCCCACACTCACCTGCCCGAACACGTAGAGCAGCCCGACCGTGCCCCCTGTGCGGCCACCCAGCACGGACGAGACCATGGAGTAGACGCCGCCGCCGCCCACGCCGCAGTGCTCAGCCACCCCGATGCCGGACAGCACGGTGATGAGGGCCACCAGGACGACGAAAGACACCAGGACCATGCCCACGAGCACGCCTGTGTTTCCCTGCAGGGCGGTGAGAGGGACATTAGGGCTCAGGGCCGGGGCGCGCAGCCACTCCACACCCCCAGGGCTGTGGCAGGAGCTGGAGGGGGCAGCAGCCCCAGGGCAGGCAGGGTGAGGGCCTCAAGGGCCGGGCACAGGCTCTGCATGGGGCAGCCCTGGCTCCATCTCCGTGTCACATGGTCCCTCAATTGCTACCAGGAGTGACCCTTGAGCACCAGAAAGAGAGTAGCTCTTAGAGCATGGCTGGGTTTGGCCCCAATCCACTCACCCCCCAAAATCTCATGAGCACCTCCCCCCAAATCTCTTGCCTCTCCACCTCCCCACAACCCTTCCTCTCTGTGCCAGTAAGCCCAGCGGGAGCCATTGCAGGCTGCAGAACCTTACGCAAAGGGCCAGGGTCTCTGACCCTGGGGACAGAGGAGGGGGCAAGTGAGTCCAGGAGAGGACACACGTGCCCACGGGGGGAGAGGTGGGTGCCCGACTGAATGCCGAGGAGGACCGAGGCCAGAGCACCTCGGCTGTGGCTGCAGTCGTGCCGCCCCTGTGTGCTCCTGGCTGACGTGTCAGTTGGGGACAATGACACTGGCCTTCCGTGTTGTTGGAAATGGTTTTAGCGGGATGACACGCAGTAGAAAGCCCCTGACTACCACAGTGGCGTCTGAGTGATCGGCCTTTCTTACCAGATGCACCGTATAAGCATCCGCCTCCTGGGCCTCCCCTAGGAGGCCAGAGGAGCGCCTAGGTGAGTGTATCTGCGGGTCCTAGGTGAGTCTACCTGCGGGTGCGCTCAGGAAGAGGCTGCCAGCAAGGAGCTGCGAGTGCAGGTGAGAGTCAGAGGCGGGCAGGAGGCTGGGGCGGTGGGTCGGCCTCGTGCCCATTAGGAGAGGGACTGTCAGCAAACTCAGAAGCAGAAAGCAGTCTCCGCGTGGAGAACTGGAGCCTGTGCACCGCTGTGGGTGGGCAACTCAGCCTCCAGGGTCCTGGCCCCGCTCCAGCCAGGCTCCTGGGCAGGGGGAGGCTGTGCCGGGCTGTTCGTCCACTAGCGTGCTCACCAGACAAGTCACATCTGACGAGATTCTATGTGTGCTTGTGTGTGTGTGCGTGTGTGCACGTGAATGCATGTATGTGTGCTTGTGTGTGTGTGTGTGCATGTGTGGACATGTGTATGCGTGTGTGTTCACGTGTGTGCATATGCACATGTGTGTGAGTGTGTATGCGTGAGTGTGTGCATGTGTGTGCATGTGCGCATGTGTGTGTGTGTGTGTGTGTGTGTGTGTGTGTGTGTGTGAGCGTGTGTCCCTCCCCTCCCTTTTAGTTGTGAGGTCGCGTGGGCGCTCAAAGGGCTGCACACTTTTCCCGTGGTGGCTGCAGCCAGACTGCGCACAGCCCGGGGGTCGTGTCAGTAGCCCGTCTTTCAAGGCAGAAGTCCTGATGCTTCGCTTCTCAGGCCCCTGATTTTGAATTTCAGAATTGTTTTGTATAGTGACAGAAGTCAAACTCAGGGCCGAGCACATGCTCTGGGCCGCCTGCCACTGGTCTCTGTTTGCCTGGCAGGCATCTGAGTGAGTTCTGTCATGGGGCTTTCGTTGGTTCTATTTGGGGGGAGCAATATCCAGCAGTGCTCAGGGGCTACTCCCAGCACGGTGCTCAAGACCACTCCCAGTGGTGCTCAGGACTGTGTGATACCAGGGACGGAGCTCAAGTCTCCTGAACACAAAGCAAAGCACATATTCCAGTTGTGAGCTTCTCCCTGCCTTCAGGACTTTGTGTTATTTTTTTAAGAATGTGTTCTCTGTATTTTCTACTCTTGGGCTAGAGACACAGCACAGCAGTTAAGGCCCTTGCCCTACCAAGGCTGACTGGAGTTGAGCCCCGGGAACCACATACTCAACTCCCTGACCACCACAAGGTGTAGCCCTCCCCGAAAAAAACAAAACAAAACTTTTATTTTCTGTTCTTCCTTTTGCCATTAAGATCAAAATAGTCTATTTTTTGTTCTTCGACAGTAAACTAAAATTTATATAAACACATGAAATTTGAATATTTTTCTAAAAACCTAAAAGATACAAAGAGAGTGGAGTATTTGTGGATTTTTTTTGCCCTTATCATAAAGTCATTAATGATTTAATTATTTTTGAACCTCCAAGCTAGATGCAAATTTCCACAAACTTCTAAAAATTTTAATCTTTTAAAAACAGGAAAATTCAGTAAACTTTCATTTCCAAATGTTCTAAGGAAGAATAATCAGAAGCATCTTCTGGTTATAAAACGTAGTTATATTTACCCCGAATGCCCTGGGACACAGCAAGAAAGTCCTGGACTGCTGTGTGGCGTCTGAGAGCGATGGGCAGAGCACTGGCTCAGGAGGGTTTGGGCTCCCCAGTGCATAAGGAGGCTCCTGAGAGGCAGCCCTCACAGTGCTCCCCCAGGCCTACCCATGTGACGGCTCATTTCATTTCTCAGCAAGTCTAGGAGCTCTGATTGTTTACTCAAACATTATTCTAAGTGCTGCAATAAATGGTTTACTTTTGGATGTGATTAACATTTATAATCAATAGACTTTTTTTTAACAATTAGGTCATTGATTCTAGAGGTTCTAGAATGGGGGTGGGCCTCGTCCAATCACTTGCAGCCTTGAGCACAAAGACTGCGTTTTCCCAAGGAAGGAATTCTGTCTCTGGACTGTAGTGTCAGGGATTAAGGTGCTGCCTCCACGGAGCTGGCCCTGCTTCCGGCCCTAGCACCGCTGGCCCACGGAGCACCCCGGGCAGCTGAGAAGAGGAGGGTGGGGTCCCCAGTTCTCCTCAACACCACCCGGAAGGCCCTTTTGTGCCCCAAATCTACTTGAATTCCCAGTTTTGGGGTTCAAGATATGGCAACATCAGTTCTCAAATGAGTCTCTCTTGTCCTGCACTTAGGGATGTGTTTGCTGCCACAGGCAAATGGGCCAGTTTCCTCTCTTGGAGTAGAAACCGGAGCCGATCTGCTCTGAAAAACCTGAAGGTGTACCCATACGCCAGGGACCCTCCCTCCCTCCCTCCCTTCCTCTCTCTGTCTCTCTCTCTCTATGACTCTGTGTGTCTCTCTCTTTGTCTTAGTCTCTGTCTCTGTCTCTCTCTTCCCTCTCCTCTCCACTCTCTCTCCTCTCTCTCCTTCTGTCTCTGTGTCTCTCTCTGGGTCTCTGTGCCTCTCTCTGTATATGTCTCTGTCTCTGTCTCTGTCTCTCTTCCCTCTCCACTCCACTCTCTCTTCTTTCTCTCCCTCTCTCTCCCTTTCTGTCTCTGTGTCTCTGTGCCTCTCTGTGTCTCTGTCTCTCTCTGTCTCTCTCTCTGCACAGAGCGGGTGGGCCAGACCTGGAAGTGCTCAGGCTTAGGGGACCATACGGGATGCTAGGGACAAATCTGGGTGCCCTGCCTGCCGTCTACTACTCTGCCTCGCCCCCCTTCCATAGCTCCCCTTGGGGGGGCAGTGTCCGATCTCTCCCTGGCTGTTTGCCAGCAGAGGGGGGAGGATGTGGACCTGGCCCCCCCGAGCAGCCTGCCTGCCTCACCAGTCCCGGGGGTCAGATACTCTGAACACGCCGGCTGGAGGTCCCAGGGCAGCTCCCAACACAGCAGAGGGTAAGCTGGCCTGCGGGATGCCCTTTGAGAAGGGTCCGCACTCGGCCTCGGGCAGGGCCAGGGCACAGGTGAGGCCTGGGGCAAGCGGGAGTGGCCCCACGCTGTATAAACTGGCCTCCACCTCCTCCCCGCCCCTGAGCTCGGGTTCCGCAGCCCCTAGCCGAGGGCGAGCGGGCAGGGGCCTCGGTGACACAGCCCTCCCATCCCGGACACCCCCGCCCTTCAGAGACAACAGGGACCCCCACATCACTCACCACCAGCCAGCCAGTCCTCAGGAAGAGGACGACCCCGAAAATGTTGATCATGCAGGATGTGAAGACGCCGTCCCAGGTGCCGAAGAGCACGGGCTCCCACATGAGCAGGGGGACCCTCCACCAGGGCCGCGGCTGGGCCAGCGCCTCCTGAAGCAGAGCAAGGGTCAGCAGGGGCATGCAGGACGGGCACAGCCTGTGCCGGGCACTGCCATGCCAGGGCGCTCAGCAAACGCGCCCCCTCTGCTCAGCCGCTTGGTGTGAGTGGGAACACAGGCAGTTCCACAGAGTGGAAGCAGAGGCAGGGCTGGCGAGGCCTGGGTGGACAGAGGACTGGGCCCCAGCTCTCGGCCCCCACAGCTGGGGTGACATTCACAGATCACAGAGAATTCATCACAGCGGTCACTAGGCTGCCCACATGGCACCTGCCCCTGAAGGGCTGGGGCTGGGGCGGGGACAGGAGCAGGGGACTCGGGTAAATTGTTTTGGTTTGGAGACGTGCAGCATCTCAGTACGGCAGTGCTTGCTTTGTATGTGGCAGCCCACCTGGCCCCGAGCCCACCAGGACTGATTCCTGAGTACAGAGCCAGGAGTAACCCTCAGGCACTGCTGGGGCATGTCTCCAAAGGACAGAGAAATTGAATTTGGATCTGGAGAGGTCTGGAGGGGTCGAGAGAGGGTCTGAGGGATCGGGAGAGGGTCTGAGAGGTCAGGAGAGGGTCTGAGAGGTCGGGAGAGGGTCAGGAGGGCTCGGGAGAGGGTCAGGAGGGCTCGGGAGAGGGTATGAGGGGTTGGGAAAGGGTCTGACGGGTCAGGTACTCGTCGGGGAGGGTCGACTGGAGAGGGAAGAGGTGAGGAGGGGCATGCTTTGCTCACAGGGGACCTGGTTCTATCCACAGCACTGCCTGGCCCACAGGGTGCCTTTGGGAATAAGCCCTGAGCACTATCTATGTGGTGCAGAACAAACACAGCAAAAATAAGACAAAGAACAAGAGGGAGGAGAGAAAGAGAGAGAGAGAGAGAGAGAGAGAGAGAGAGACAGAGACAGAGACAGAGACAGAGACAGAGACAGAGAGACAGACAAAGACAGAGATACAGAGAGAGACAGAGACAGAGACAGAGAAAGAGCATGCTAAGGAGAGAACATACTGCCCAAAGTCTGAATCCCCACCAACAGTGTTAAAATCTCTTCTTTCCCCTGAGCCTCACTTACTAAATGTTACTTGTGCTCCTGTCCCGAAAATTCAGGCTTTCAGGTATGAATTTCTAATAGGCTGGACTTTGCTTGCCTGTGACTCCATGTGCCTGACCCATAAAAGTCCTTGAAGACATTCAAAGCTGTTTCTCTATTTTGTTGGACTTTTTATTTGGGCTCCCAAGCACTGCCAGGGTCCATGACACTTGGCCACTCGGTCAGACACCCCAAGGCATGGGCCCGGCACGCCTTGCTCAGGCCCAGAGAGGCTGGAGGCCAGCAGGACACCCCAGTGGCACTAGACGAAGAGTGGGGTGGAACGGGAGGCCAGGGGTCAACTCAAGGTCTTGTCCCGCGGCACGCAGCCCTGGTCCCTGGGCTCTCTCCCACTCTGTACTTCCGCATTTCTACAGTCTCCCGATTTCTTCTCTGAAACTGTGGGGTATTTGTTTAGCTGATGCCATGGGGGGAGCCCTCCGCCCCAGGGTTCACTCAAAGATCGTTTACAAGAAGAGGCAGAACTGCCGAGAGCCTCTCCTGAGCATCAACGGACAACAGCTGACATGGGTTTGGTGACCACGCGGGGCACTGGAGGAATGTGGACACCATGCTTTATAAAGTGATAAAAGAAAGTGACAGTCTTCCCAGGGCTTGGTCATCAGAGATGACAGGAAGGGGTGTGTGTGTGTGTGTGTGTGTGTGTGTGTGTGTGTGTGTGAGAGAGAGAGAGAGAGAGAGAGAGAGAGATTGTTTCATGGAATAAATACAAACCTGGGAAAAGGAGAAGGGTAAACCCCTAAACAAATTTTTGGGGGACGCTGGCGCTGCAGGGTGTCAGTGCTAAGAGCCACTGACAAACCAGTGGCCGTCTCGGTCCCCCACCCCTGCCTGCCTCACCCGCAGAGCAGCGGCCCAAAGCTCCTCTTCCAGTGATGGGTGGGGCTCCCAGGAGTCAGCCCCACCCTGGGGGTTTCCTTTTGGGTCATGGTCAGCTCATGAACATGAGAACATGAGCCCAGAGGTGGTTCGGAGGAGTTTGTTATGAATACTAAGACGCTGTCAGCATACTCATCAACTAGGAAGTTCCAGTGGGATGGGCACATCACCAGAAAGAGGAGACACTCTTCCCACCTCTCTCTCTTTCTCTCTCTCTCTCTCTCTTGCTCGCTTTCTCACTCTCTCTCCCTCTCTCTGTCTCACTGTCTCGCTCTCTCTCTCCATACATATATGTGTGTATGTAAATATATGCATGCATATATATATACAGATATATATATATATATATATAATCATTGGGGCTGGAGCGATAGCACAGCAGTAGGGCGTTTGCCTTACACGCAGCCAACATGGATGACCCAAGTTTGATTCCTCCGCCCCTCTCAGAGAGCCCGGCAAGCTACCGAGAGTATCTCGCTCGCACGGCAGAGCCTGGCAAGCTACCCGTGACATATTCGATATGCCAAACACAGTAACAATTGTCACAATGGAGACGTTACTGGGCCCGCTCGAGCAAATCGATGATCAACGGGATGACAGTGATATATAATCACTGCAAACAGCACCACCACCTCTGGCTACCCTGCCACCATCACTGCTATCTCTCCTTTGTGGGATCTCACCCTGGGAGCAGCCCGTGCTGGTAAGTCCGATGGGTGCGGACACGGCCTGTCTGTCCTCGACCCCCTCTAAACCACCCCCTTCTCCCTGGGTCTGGAGAAGGAGGTTGGCTCCCCAGGGAGAGGCTGGGAGGTGGCGCTTTCTCTCTCCCGCCTGCCCGCCTCCCCACTCTGCCTGAGCTCCGGGGCACCGGGAGGTGAGTGAGAATTCTGGCAGTGCCCAGTAGTTTGCGGGCTCCTGTTCTCAGGGCTATGCGAGTGGCCACTCCCCCTACATCCCCCAGGAGGGCCAGCCAGGCTCGAGAGCCCTCTGCCGCGTGGAGTCGGAAGCTGGTCTGCGTGCTAAGCTAAACAGAGCTGGCCACCATGAAGCCGCACTGGCCCAGTGCCCACGGGCTATGCCGAGAGGCCTCTGGTCTAGGAGCAGTGGGGGAGGGGGGTCGACGCCATGGTCCTGTCTTCCGGCCCGGGACTGTGTCCGACCCTGCAGTGGGGAGGCTGCTCAGCTCAGGGCCCCGTGCCCAACCGTCCTCCAGCCCGGCCAATGGGAAGGACAGGGTGGGCATGGGATGCCCCAGCAGTCAGACTCCTGGCCTCCCGGATGGAGAGGTGGCAGCCAAAATAAGGAAGAGAAACAAAACCAGGAAGAAAACGAAAGCCTCCCTCCGGCTGGTGAGAGGCAGAGCTGGCTCATCCCTCCTCGTCGCCAGCCCCCCAGCTCACTCCCAGCCGCTCCCCTGCCTGGGGCGTGGGAAGGGGGGGGGCGATAACCGGAAGTGGGATCACCTGAAACTTGGCTGACGGTGCCCAGGGAGCAGCCTTGGGCCCTCCGCAGACCCGGGGCCCAGCCAGCTCCCGAGTGAACAGTGATGCTCACACAAAACGGTTGCGGGGAGCAGAGGCAATGCCACGTGTGCTGCGCCCACACGGCCTCACCAGGATAAAGGGGGCGGGCAGACAGCACGGGGCTGCACCAGCTGCAAGTCAGCCGCATGCCACACAAGGGCCCTGAGCGCCACTGCTGGGCACAGAGGCAGGAGAAGCCCCTGGGTCCTCTGGGTACAGCCCAGTGCCCCGCCCCCCCACCACCACCAGAAAAAGATAAAGAAGCCCAGGGCCCCTCTAAACGGCAGTGCGAACACGCAGGGCAGGCTCTCTCCTGAGGCCTCACCAGCTGGAGGAGGCTGGGTGGGCCCGGGGCCAGTCTCCCTGACCAGCTTCCTGTGCTCTGTGCCCAGGGACTGCACCCAGCTCCAGAAGCACCTGGTGCAGACTAAGCTCACGGCCACAGTCCTGGGGAGTCTCACCACTGATGTCTAGGGGTCCGCCAGAGGGACCTGGACCGGACGAGCACCCCGGAGGGCGGGTGCACTGGGCTTCTGCGACTCAGCGGCACTCAAAGCTTCTCGCTCGATGCAACCGCCTCTCGCGCCTGCAGGAGCACCCTGAAAGGGCAGATGACAGCCCTTTCTCTCAGGGCAGCAGTTGAGAAGCAGCTTTGGGTCACGGCCAGCCCCGGCCTGTGCTGTCTGCAGGAATCACCTGCAGTGAGTTGGCTCTGCCCAGCCCACACAGGGACTGGCCCACGTGTTGCCCACTGCGGTCTGGCCTTCGTGGGGCTGGCCACCCTGCCCTGGCCCCGAGAAGCCACCTGCATGCAGCTGGCCCTGCCCTTTTGAGGGTCACAGCCACTCGGCTTCAGCAGAACCCCTCTCCCACCCGCCGCTCTCCCGGCACAGATGCTGCCGCGGGAAGGCCAGGCTCATGGGGTGGGCAAAGTCTGACTTCCCGGATTTGAATCTGGCAGCACCCTTGGTCAATATTGAGTCAGCTGCCAGCCCTAGAAGCGCGGGGTCTGTGGCAGTTTGGGTCTGCTGCCAGGAGCAGGCCGGGGGCCAGGAACTGCAGCGGCTTCTGCGTTCCTGAAGTCTGAACGGTGAAGCCCATCCCCACCTAATCCGTCCGAGGCTGGCAATGCTGCAGTTACACCACTGCACAGCTGCCAAGGGACGGCCTGGGCCTCGCAGACCCCAGACCACACAGCACACCACCCTGCCACCACACCCACACATCCTCTCAGCCTAACAAACGGTGAGAAACCATTACTAACGCTAGGTAGAAAGCCTGGCTTTGGAAGGGCAGGAGTTTGCAGGGGGAGGCATTTCTACAGAATCTGCCAGTTACAGGATTGAGCAAATAAGTAAACCTATTAAGTGGGAGTCAGGTGTGGGGCCAGAGAGATAGTACAGTGGGTAGGACACTTGCCTTGCTCATGGCTGACCGGGTTCGATCCCAGCACCATATGATCCCCAGCCCACCAGGAGTGTTCTTGGGTGCAG